TTGTTTCTGGAGTTGGCATTTCCCAGAAAATGATTACCATTCAGCCTCTCCATTATTCCTTTCTTGCCAGCACTATTATTGAAACAAAATGCCTGGGTGCTCTGATGTCAGTTGAAGTTTGTTTGTGACATTAACTTGAGTTGAAGTTGGCTCTTTGTAAATATTGGGAAAAAAATCCAAACCCTCCCAATCGCCTGTTTCTCATACTCTAAAGCTAATGCTAATCAAAAATGGTATTTGATTAACCTCTTGAAACATATTATCCAAATATGCCTTGAATGACTAAACTGATAAATTGGATACAATTAATTGCTGGAGGTGATGGACTCCTGTGAATCACTGCAATTCATTCCGCCAGTTTTCTCATGCTACACTGTTAACTCTGGAGAGGCAACAGACACCAGACACACAGGAGCGAGCTACACTTCTCCCTCAGGGCAGAACTTGAGAGGATAAAATCTGTCAACACTGTCTTATGCAGTGCAATTATTGGATAAACTTGAACCTGTTTGTTACTTCTTTTGAATTTGAAACACATTTTTATATTTTAAATCGCTTCATGGATGTGTGTATTATGTTCCTGATCATCCTTTCTCTTTGAATTCATTGTTAGAATGAAAAAGAGTTATTTGTTTATTTTCTACCTTGTTGAGCCGTTTAAGAAGGCAGGCACTTGATCTTGAGGGAAAGTTGCAGTAGAAGGAATAGAAAGTAATCCATAATTAAACTCAGCAATAGTTCCAGCCATTCACTGGAGCTCCTTGATCTGAGCTCCATAAATTAAAAGCGACATTTATCTATGAAGTAATCCTGGAGGAATTGTTAACAATGATGGTTTTGAAATCTGATAATAGAACCAATAAGAAGACATGAAACCAGGGTAATTTCTTCTGGAAGGAAAGGACTCCAGGTACACTTTAAGGTCTGTCTTCAAGTATTTGAAGAGTTTCTTATTATTTCGAGGGTAGTGATATATTGTCTTTTAATCTGCCCTTTGCATAAAATCAGGGAAAATCGGTTTAAATTGTAACAGAAAAGATTTAGGTTAGATGTGAAGAAGAAAATTTTCTGACAGGAAATGCAAAGTAAACACCAAGAAAATGTGTGGATTTCATTTCTCTAGCAAAGGTCTGACCAGTCACTAGAAATAGGATTGAATAGTCTTAGCCACTGGTGATAATCCAAAGCTGAACCTTGTTCTCAAGATCCTGAGGTTTTATTATTCTATTCCCATTCAATTGTGTACTTTTAGAATGTCACTTTTATGATGATCTCTTCTTGGAAGCAAAAAATAACGTTTCTCAATATGATTCTTAGAAGGCGGTAGCTGTGTTTCATTATTGAATTATCTATACCTGGGCTGAGTGAAATGTGTATTTAAGAAAATGCCCTGTTCTAAGCAGATGCTTAATATTTCCGGACTGAGGGTGATTTTTCTTAAAGCTGCTAGTTGAGCAGGGCTTTTTAACTTGCTTTCTGTTCACTTGCCATGTCTTGGTTTTCAAGTCCTTATGAACAGATGTTTCCTTTCTAAGAAAGAATATAGTTTATTAAGAAGACCTCAAATTCTATAGCTTGGGGTAGGGGATGCTCTGAGGAAAGAGCCTGGTTTCTGTTGGTCTTTGGATATATCCACCTACTGAGTTTGTATGATTTGTGCTGTGACATTCAGAGCCAAATCTCTTTAATAAAAAGAGTTGAATATTTTATTTGTAGAAAGTTTTAAAACTGTAATTATTTTGGCTCCTAGTATATATTGTTCCCTCCATGACACAATTAACCTCAATAATGAATTTTATTTTTTTAAAAACAAAACAAACACGCAACAGAATAAATTATGATTCTAAACTTGATCTTCTCATACTGTGGATTGAGAAAACTTAATCTCATAAAATAAAGATCGGACCATCTGACAATTTCTGAAAAACAAATCTTCGATACCTCCCAGGTTCCACAGTAAATTTCAACAGCGTCTTCTATTCATTTAAAGCTTTCAAAATTCATTGAAATAGGAATGTGCATTTCAAATACACACTTTGAAACTTAATTGAAAATAAAATCAGGTTTCTTCCTAATGTGGTCAACACACTATTTAAATTGTAAACATTTACTATGATGCCAAACTGTATCTTGAGATGGTTGACTCTAAAACTCTCAGCCAAGTAACCCACAAAGTGGAGTAAAGAGCTTACATTTGAGACTTAGTTTGAACTTTGAGAAAGGTGCCAAGAGTGCCCAGTGGGACAAGGACTGTCTCTTTAATAAATGGTGTTGGGAAAACTAACATCCACACACAGAAGAATGAAATTGGACCATTATCTCACTTCACATACAAAAATCAACTTAGAATGATTAAAGACTTAAAATGTAAGGCCTGAAACTGTAAAACTATTAGAAGAAAACCTACGGAAAACACTTCTTGACATTGATGTTGACATTGACGTTGATCTGGGCAACGATATTTTGGATACAACTCTAGAAGCACAAGCAACAGAAGCAAAAATAGACAAATGGGATTGCATCAAACTAAAAAGCCTCTGCACAGCAAAGGAGACAACAAAGTAAAGAGACAACTTATGGAATAGAAGAAAATTTTTGCAAACCATACATCTGTTAAGGGCTTAATTCCCAAAATGTATAAGGAATTCAAACAAGTCAATAGCAAGGAAACAAATTATTCAGTTTTTAAAAAATGGGCAAAAAGACCTGAATAGACATATCTCCAAAGAAGACATACCAATGACCAACAGGTATATGAAAATATGCTCAATATCACTAATCATCAGGGAAATGCCAATCAAAACCACAATGAGACATCATCTTATACCTGTTAGAATGGCTATTATCAAAAAGTTAGGAGATAAGTGTTGGTGAAGGTGTGAAGAAAAGGGAACCCTTGCACACTGTTTGTGGGAATGTAAATTGGGACAGCCATTATGGAAAATAGTATGGAGGTCCCTCAAACAATTAAAAAATAGCAATACCAGGCTTCCCTGGTGGCGCAGTGGTTGAGAGTCCGCCTGCCAATGCAGGGGACATGGATTCGTGCCCCGGTCCGGGAAGATCCCACATGCCGCGGAGCGTCTAGGCCCGTGAGCCATGGCCGCTGAGCCTGCGCATCCGGAGCCTGTGCTCCACAACGGGAGAGGCCACAGCAGTGAGAGGCCCGCATACCGCAAAAAA